TTCATTACTTTTTCAAATATATCAATAATATTTCACGTTATTCCAACACAAAAATTCACACGTTATTCTTCTCATTCATTAACAAATTAATAGTAATATCCTATTTAGAGTAAATGGAACAAAACTCCACCCAAAAACCACGTTAGGATGTGCGACAGCTCCTAATTCTATTTATCAAACTCTCAAGGCTGCTGCTAGTTACGCGCCACAAAATTTCTATAAGTAAGTGTGGGAAAATTATATAAAAGCATTCAAGCACCCACCTCACAGTGGTCATAAATTTTCAGCATTCAAGCGTCACGCAATTATGCTGCCACCGACCCACGCATTTGCAATGAGCTTTTCTAAAATTATGCACCGCCAACTTTGTTGCATACAAAATGCTATTGAACGTCTCTATTAAATGTATGCAACACAAACGCACATCTGCATACAGTTGCAGACGCGCCTCGATGGATTAGCCGCGACGTTGGCAAGGCATTCAAGCAACAAGGCAAACAGCGAGGCAAGAATTCGCTACACATTTATCTTCATCCACTCTAAATAACCATGAACTTTTGCCTAATTGATTTATTACATTCAGTGAAAATGGCATTAATTATGAAATCACAACAACAATGATAACAATCATAACAATATTGTAGATAATAACGGATAGTAGCTGTATTTATTTAACATTAAAGAGTAGACAAGCTGCAGTGGCTTGGCAACTGAGCCAATATGAGGACCGAGTGTGTAGGTGTATGGCACAAGTGGCTGGTCATGAAAGTGATGAGGCTAGAATGTTACTAGATGCGCTAGCTTGGCTGCAAACACACCCAAACCGAGAAAGAAACAAAGGAACTCATTGATGGCAATGTCTGGACACAAGGCATGAAAAAACAAGATAAAGTCTAAAATACGGTTGCACAGAAGCTATAATACCCTTCTCAAATGAAAACACACAACTTTTTTTATTTTTTTTTATTCTTGTTTTGGAAATTGTGGCTTTGTCTTGGCAGTTAATTCATGCCAAACTTCGTAAAGATATCCCGTGAAATAAACAAGTTTTCCATGCAAGGGATCGATCAGTTTGTGTGGCCTCTATATACTATAGAGTTCCTATCTGAACAATTTTGCCTTCGATTGGACCGTTGTCTTGGGTAACAATCGATGTCGAATTTCGCGAAGATATCTCGTAAAATAAAAAAGTTTTTCAAACMAGGACTTCATTTTGATAAGTCAGTTTGTATAGCAGCTTTATGATCGAACCACTATGATCTGGAAAATTTGCTCGGATACTGTAGCCTTGCCTTAGACATTAATCTATGGCAAATTTCAAGAAAATATTTGGTTCTAGAAAWAAAGTTTTCCCTACAAGGACTTCTTTTTTATGTCCTCTTTTATGGCAGCTATATGCAACAGTGCTCCAACATCAGCGCGTCCGACAAACTAGCASCTACTTAGGATGAGAAAGACATTTKYAGAATTTAAGAAAGATGTCTCAAACACTGAGGGACTAGTTCGCGTCTATACAGACATATGGCTAYAGTTAAATCGGCTCATCTTGTCAMGCTGATCATTTTATACTCGSATATAGTAAATATATCAATTATGTAAAATCTCCGTCGTTTCTTCTCCGTGTTACAAATTTCGTAACAAACTCAATAGTCGCTGTTTAGGGTGTAATAAAGACTGCAGCACGAGTGCAGACCATACTGATGATTGAGTTGATTATGCGCACGGTGATTGCTGATGCGTTGGTGGCTGCTCAAGTGTTGCGAAATTTCCATAAAAACAGAATAAATATAAATTCAAGATGATCTAGCAACTACAGGCRACATCTATATTATATATACATTAGGGTGGCTTTTTTTTCTTTGAACTATTAATTTTTTTCAGTCCCGTCACGAAATTTCCTTGGAAATACCCTAAACAAAATTCCCTGAAAATTTTAGCCCTTATTAACATTATGAACTGGACCAACGTCTGCAAAAATTTTTCATAGAAAATATGCTAAAATCGTTAGTTTTTATCTTTAAATTACTACAGATCAGATGTCTTTTATGGCATCGCGTTGACTTTAGTCGCATATTTCTCAGAATTGTTTACTCTACAAAAGTKCWYAGTGCAACAAAGTCGTAACTCACACCGGCGAGGTAGTMCGTKKCTCTAAACCTGATTTTTCCAATAATTTCGCACTTTGTTGTATATGTATATCTCGTAAATAACAGGAGCTATAGAAAAAATGTGCACGACAAATTTGTAAGAAATTTTATTTGCTATAAAAAAGGGCCGAGATCATTCTGTATGCAATTTKCATAGATTTTTAAATACATACCAGCTATAAAAATTCTATAYAGCCCTACTTAAAAAGCCGAATATCTSGAGAAGTATTAATGTTAGCGGTTTTGACCTCGAACCTTTTATAGCAAATAAAATTTCGCACACACCCTAATATACATATATATATGCATACATACACATATATTTGTACCACTTGCTGCCTGTTGAGCACGATTGATCATTTAAAGACAATTCTAAAAGCTAGCGAAAAAACCGTAAATAAATACTGTTGCAACTATTAATTACTGCATTGCTGCATCATTGGCTGCCGGCTGAGCTCATAATTTTTTAATGGCGCAAATTACTAGGCAAATGAAGCATTGCACACATGTGCCGCCAAATAGATATAGACCAATAAATGCGTGCACTCGAAGCTAAAAATCATGTGCAACACGGTGTGGCAGCGACGCGACTGCATACGCCGGCAGCTAACTGCAGGCGTTTGGCGTTGCRGCAGTGAAGCGGAAAAATAGGATTTAAATGCAGCATCACTCATGTGACAGCTGTGTGCCACGTCAAAAAATATGCTCGTAAAAATATGTGTGTGTTGCACTGCATATGCGTATGTATGTATGTAAATACWTACATATTTACTCTTTRTAAWTGCAATTGCGCGGGTGCTGCCAAAGCAGTGTACATGTTCGGATCATTTYAGATGTTTTTCACTCATAAAAAACAGTTCGTAAAGCTGCTGTCAACTTTTCTGACAAATTAACTACAAATAATTATGTCAAAAAGTTGTGCGCAGTTTTTCGAAAAATCAGCACGATATTTTGCCTTGAATTCTAGTGCACATATGCGTTTCACATACTAAAAACATCATATTTCTAAAGAAAATCTTTAATTTATTGTTGCATACACATTTTAATAATAAGCAAAACATGCAACCCATTTGCAATTCTAAAGTCTTTTTATAACAACTAAAGAAGGGCAAAGWTCARGTGCATCCGARCATTTTATACTCTTTCAACTTGCAAGAARTGTTAAAAAATCCAAAATCATTAAATAAAGTAAATGGGAGTTGGGGTAATCAATCATGCTTCATACTAAAAAATGTCCYCGGGTTTCATTAAGGTATTTCACATACAATCACAAATCATATCGAGTAAAGTCAACGGGATGTTCGAAAATCAAAATTTTAGTTACATGGGAGCTAGGTCAAGTTTTCGACCAATTTGAACTATTTAATCAACAGAGACACACTATTATGATTAACAACGCTCCCTCATTTTCAATGAAAACCCATACATATGGCCGATATATGCGGTTTAAGGTCATGCGGTAGTTCGAAAATCTTTATAATAGGTACATACATGGGGTCTATGAAAGTATTRACTCGATTCAACCGATTTTTTGATACACGGCGATATTATTATCATAAAAAGTTATATCTCTGAATTTCGATTGTCTATCTCACACCTTGACTGATAATGACCAATCAATACTTTAGTTCTTTCTATTTACTTTTATAGGAAGTAAGAAAAAAATTAAAATTCTTTGTAGAAGTAATTTTTTTGAACCAGTCTTTCACTAAAATTAAATAAAAAATTCATAAAGTAATTTTAACATCATCAATTCGCAACCAAAATGCATTTGTAAACAAATTTTCAAAGAACACYCTCAAAGCCCAACAATTACATCCTAACGCAACAGCATTCTTCAAAATACTAGTTTACTATCTACTAATAACGACTATGTTTTGTTATGAATTTCACATTTCAAGCATTCCTTATTGTTTTTTGTGGATGGTAATTTCATTTAGTCAATTCCATGTTTCTTTCCCTACAAACAACGTTCCTTTAAATTTTGTTCCATACCAACAGCAGTAATTTCACAACCAGTAGTTCACAARCGTAGAATATAAACAAACTGGTTGTGAGCTCCAGCTGATGGCATGTGGTGGAACGTATTTGCTATTGTTTGTGTTTGGTGGTTATTGCCACTTTGACTTTGCGCTGTGTTGCGCAATTGCTTTTGTCATTTGTAAACATTAAGAATGTTGAGCAACATTGCAGCGGATACATTTTGCTTTWGCAACTTTCTTGCTGCGTATACATGCAGACATGTTATATACAAAATGAAAATATAAACCATATAGATTATTAAATTTTATCTGTAAGGTAGTATGTAAGGTAAAACGCTGAAAATACAAYTTTGTTTCTTTATATCGTAATTATAATAACATAATGCATAAATATAAATATACATATGTCTCTATATACACCATACATATGTATGTTCGCTCATCTAAGGACTACCAAATAATACACTCATTAACAATTTGAAGCCTAAATTCAGTAAGTTTCAATATTTGACAGTTTAGATGCCMATGGCTTAGCGCGCAAGATTAATATTCTTGTTACTATGAAACATTGTTTAGTTCTTGACATCTTCCGCTTCCACGTCTTCACAATCGTCACAATGCACASAAACATATATGCACGCATGCATATCTACATGTATGCGCTTAGCAATAGCCGATGTACGAACGAAGTCAGCGCTGCGCTGTCAACTAAGCTGCGCACATGCACATGCATGCGAACACATGCAGCAGCCCTTAAGTTTTGCAATGGTCTGATTTATGTAGTATAACTCACTTACCTCACATTTTTATGAACAATAAATGCTGAAATCTCTTCAATAAGCTTCAAATGCTTGATTAACTGCCTAATTACCTTTAAAAGTCTACTTTTTGTTTGAAAATCCGTCTGCATTTACCCGCGACACTCGCAAAATTCATTGCACTTTTCACACGCGAAATTAACATACTAAAAACAACGCCCGCATTAATATTTCATATGAAATCGATGAAATGAAATCTCRTTGCTTGAATTTTAAAGAAACTTTCGATTTAGCTACAATATTTAACAAAATATTAACAATTTTCACGAACTACTTTTTGCAACAAATCTAATACGCGCGAACAACGGAAACAGACGCCGAAACAGTTACTTGGCAGACAAAGCAAAATGACAAAAACAGAGTGACACAAGGGTAAATGAAATACTTTTTTTTATTAAAAGATTTAGTAGTAATTTAAAAAATAATATTCTTTATTCTATATATGTACGAATATTATGAGATATTAGAGTATACAAAAAGAAAATGTTAGCGAGTTGCATTGAACTCCATAATTTTGAATTTATTTATTTTCTAAAGAGTTTCCTCTACTTTGGTTGAAACGGAAGGTAACAAGTGATTAGAAAGAAGGAAATGGAAGCAGGGTTGCACCAAAATGTAAAATACATTCAAAATTTTATTGAGCACGTTGTAATTCAAATTAAAATGTCTGCTTTGTGTGATGTATAAAATAATAATATTAAAATTTATATAAAAATAATTAAAATTCGGACAAAGTGAATATCTAAATCTAAAAAACAAATTATAGATGAATACAAAAAATGACTGAAAGACTAGTCAAAACTTTGCTTGAAACAAAATGACGACTGCTTTCCAAAAAAAAGTCTTTTTTGTCAAAAAATGTTATGAAAAGTGCTCTAAAAATCTAAATTATTATCAAAAATATCATTTCTTGGTCRACAATGTTTTTAGAAAGAATCGTTAATCCGGATTAATTCAGGAGTTAGTGAAGATAACTCCGTTGCTAACTATCTTTTAATCCTCAAAATTTTAGAGAGTTGGCTGCATTTTGTTAAAAAATGGAAATTTTAATTTATTGTAAATGAAAAATAAGCAACACAGAGYTATTTATAAAATTTTCAATAATAAAACAAGAAGTTTTATATTACGATGTTATGTTATGTTGCAGTTTTAAAAATAACGTGTTGATATGTTTTTSTAATAAAATATGTTCCTTTAAAAMTCAGTAGGCTAACAAMCGCAATGTTTTTCTTCTATCCATTTTCATTGAAAATATTATAAAAAWTACAATYAGCTGTTTACGAGAGTYTCAAACCMGCAGAGCTGSCGTCTGTCACCWACAAATTTGGATATGTTYAAGTGYGCAGTTAATMCGGCTTAACGCWRGCGTCTGTCATCATATTATTACTCAGCTGGCGATCAGATAATCGAACAGCTGATAATCATCTGTACATAATACGAGTATACTGTCTTTTACTTTTAATTACAATTTTGAAAACAGGTAATTTTCAACTAAATTATTTTTAAAATTACTAAATTAATGAAGAATTAATTAACTAATGAAAATAAAAATACAAAATTATTTTAGAGTGCGAAAGAGATTTCCCCGCAAATAAAAAATTAAGTTTGCATATAAATTGTTTTCTTTATTTCGAAAAGTTTATTATAGCTTTTAGTTTAAAAATTTAAACGTTGTTGCAACCCTGGTATCGCTTCCTGCTCCTTTTAAATATGTTTATATTCCGGTACTTGCAATAAATAATTATAAATATCTGCAGCCAATTGGTGCAAATACAAAGAGTCCACAGCATAAAATTAAATGTTGAATTGAATCAGTGCGCATATTTTTTTATGAAAGTAAAAAATACGAACGAAACATTATAGAAAATGAAAAAGTAAAGCAAATCACTAACTGGTTACTAACCGGTCGCTATGTTGAATGTTTGACGATAAGTGTGTATACTACTTAGACGTAAGTGCAATTAATTTAAGTAACTTTAAGTTATTGATTTATACGCGTTTTTACAGCAGCATAAACCTATGTAACTGTGCTCTACTTGTGAGTCCAAAAACGATACACGACTTGTCGCAAACTGTGTAATCGCCAAATTATTTTACTTTGTGTATATGTCTATATTATTTGTTAGTTGCATATTAAACGATTTTATTCTGTATTTTTTTTTAAATTAATTTTTTATTCGAAAAAAAAAGTATTTAATTTAATTCGGCCCAAAGTATTTCTTCAAAATTTCATATTTCTTTTAAAGAGTAGTATTTGAATTTTATTCTCATTTTTATATTGCTATAATTTATATACTTTTTAGTTTTTTTTTCAACTTTCTTAATGGCTGCATTGTAGTCGCCATACTTTGACATGACCACATGTGCCGTTACTTGAACTTTTTACTAGAAATTTTTAAAATTTTTCTTTGACGCTTCACGCATATATAGCAAATTAGTACTTATCTTATTTATAAGCAA